CCCAAGGAACATCTCACTGATTTTAAATCGGGTAAGTGGCCTCTTTTTACTCTCTTCTCCAACCTTTCACTATCCCTCAACCTCTTTCTCCTTTCAATCTTGGTGTCACCCTTCAATCTCTCCTTTCTCTTAATTTCAATTCCTTTCATTTTCTGGTAGAGACAAAGGAGACACATTTTACCTGTGGACCCAAAACTCCAGCACCGGTCATGGACTCGGGAAGGCAGCCTTCCCTTGTTTAATCATTGCGGGGATGCCTGCCTGATTATTCACCCACATTCCATTGGTGTCTGATCTCCGGGAGGATGCCTGCCTTGGTTATTCACCCACATTCCCTTGGTGGCAAGTCAATTGCGGGGATGCCTGCTTAGGCTACTCACCCACATTGCAGCCCAGGGCTGCTCACCCCACCCCTTCTCTCCATGTCTACACCCCTTTTCCACTTTCCTGGGGGGGGCAAGCACCTCCCACCCCTTCTGTGTCTCTACCCTTCTCTTTAAACTTGCCTCCTTCACTACGGGCAACATTCCACCCCCCATTCCTCCCTCTTCTCCCTTAGTCTGTGTTCTCAAAAACTTAAAGCCTCTTCAACTCACACCTGACCTAAAACCTAAACACCTTATTTTCTTCTTCAACACCGCTTGGCCCCAATACAAACTCAACAATGGTTCTAAACGGCCAGAAAATGGCACTTTTGATTTCTCCATCCCACGAGACCTAGATAGTTTTTGTTGAAAAATGGGAAAACTGTCAGAGGTGCCTGATGTCCAGACATTCTTTTACACATTGGTCCCTCCCTAGTCTCTGCTCCCAGTGCGACTCATCCCAAATCTTTCTTCTTTCTCTCCTGTGTTCCTTCAGTCTCCACCCCAAGCTCTGAGTTCTTTGACTCCTTCTTTTCTATGAACTCATCTGACCTCTCCCCTTCTCCCCAGGCCTCTCCTCACCAGGCCAACCCAGGTCCCAATTCTTCCTCAGCCTCTGCTCCCCGACCCTATAATCCTTCTGTCACCTCCCCTCCTCACACCCGGTCTGGCTTACAGTTTTGTTCTGCGACTAGCACTCCCCCACCTGCCCAACAATTTCCTCTTAGAGAGGTGGCTGGAGCCGAAGGCATAGTCAGGGTACATTCGGGGTACATGTGCCTTTTTCTCTATCAGACCTTTCCCAAATCAGCCAGCGTTTAGGCTCTTTCTCGTCAGACCCCACTAAATATATACAGGAATTCCGATATCTAACTCAGTCCTACAATTTAACCTGGAGTGACTTAAATGTCATCCTAACTTCTACCTTCTCTCCAGATGAACGGGAAAGAGTTTTTTCTCTAGCCCAATCTCACACTGACAACTTCTGGCTCCATAAGCCAGACCTCCAGGAAGACATTAGAGCAGTCCCCAGAGAGGATCCCCAATGGAACTATCAGGCAGATTCCCCAGGTATAGGTAGGTGAGATTACATAATTTCCTGCCTAGTTGAAGGGCTTAAAAAAGCAGCTTACAAAGCTGTTAATTATGACAAGCTTAAAGAAACTACCCAAGGTAGAGACAAAAACCCAGCCCAGTTTATGGCCCGCTTAGCAGCAACCCTTAGACGCTTTACCGCCCTGGACCCAGAGGGGCCAGAAGGCCGCCGTATTCTTAATACACATTTTATTACCCAATTCGCTCCCAACATTAGAAAAAGCTTCAAAAATTAGATTCTGGCCCTCAAACCCCACAACAGGACTTAATTAACCTTACCTTCAAGGTGTACAATAATAGAGTAGAGGCAGCCAAGTAGCAATGTATTTCTAAGTTACAATTCCTTTCCTCCACTGTGAGAGAAATCCCAGCCACATCTCCAGCACACAAGAACTCCAAACGCCTTAACCATAGTTGCCAGCGTTTCCTCCAGAACCTTCTCCCCCAGGAGCTTGCTACAAGTGCCAGAAATCTGGCCACTGGGCAAAGGAATGCCTGCAGCCCTGGATTCCTCCTAAGCCAGGTCCCATCTGTGTGGGACCCCACTGGAAATCGGACCGTCTAACTCCCCGGACAGCCACTCCCAGAGCCCCTGGAACTCTGACCCAAGGCTCTCTGGCTGACTCCTTCCCAGATCTTCTTGGCTTAGTGGTTGAAGGCTGACACTGCCTGATCCCCTCAGAAGCCTCCTGGACCATCACGGACACTTTGGGTAACTCTTACAGTGGAGGGTAAGTTCGTCCCCTTCTTAATCAATACGGAGGCTACCAACTCCACATTACCTTCTTTTCAAGGGGCTGTTTCCCTTGGCTCCATAACTGTTGTAGGTATTGACGGCCAGGCTTCTGAACCTCTTAAAACTCCCCAACTCTGGTGCCAACTTGGACAACATTCTTTAATGTACTCCTTTTTAGTTATCCCCACCTGCCCAGCTCCCTTATTAGGTGGAGATATTTTAACTAAATTATCTGCTTCCCTGACTATTCCTGGGTTATAGTCACACCTCATTCCCACCTTTTGCCCCAGTTCAAAGCCTCCTTCTCATCCTCTCCTTGTATCTCCCCACCTTAATCCACAAGTATAGGATACCGCTAATTCCCCCTTGGCGAGAGATGATGCACCCCTTACCATCCCATTAAAACCTAATCACCCTTACCCCGCTCAATGCCAATATCCCATCCCACAGCAAGCTTTAAAAGGATTAAAGCCTGTTATTACTTGCCTGTTACAGCATGGCCTTTTAAAACCTATAAACTCTCCTTTCAATTCCCCCATTTTACCTGTCTAAAAACCGGACAAGCCTTACAAGTTAGTTCAGGGTCTGCACCTTATCAACCAAATTGTCTTGCCTAAGCACTCCGTGGTGCCAAACCCATATACTCTCCTATCTTCAATACTTCTCTCCACAACCCCTCCATAACCCATTATTCTGTTCTGGATCTCAAACATGTTTTCTTTTCTATTCCTTTGCACCTTTCATCCTAGCCTCTTTTGCTTTCACTTGGACTGACCCTGACACCCATTAGGCTCAGCAAATTACCTGCGCTGTACTGCTGCAAGGCTTTGCAGACCTCTCCCCTTACTTCAGTCAAGCCCAGATTTCTTCATCATCTGTTACCTATCTTGGCATAATTATTCATGAAAAGACACGTGCTCTCCCTGCTGATCGTGTCTGGCTAATCTCCCAAACCCCAAGCCCTTCTACAAAACAACTCTTTTCCTTCCTGGGCATGGTTAGGTACTTCCACCTTTGGATACCTTGTTTTACCATCCTGACTAAACCATTATGTCAACTCACAAAAGCAAATCTAGCTGACCCCATAGATCCTAAATCCTTCACCATTCTTCTTTCTGTTCTTTAAAAACAGCCCTAGAAGATGGCCTCACGCTAGCTTTCCCTAACTTATCCCAACCCTTTTCATTACACACAGCCAAAGCACAAGGCTCTGCGGTTAAATTTCTTACACAAGAGCCAGGACTGTGTCCTGTAGCCTTTCTGTCCAAACAACTTGACCTTACTGTTTTAGGCTGGCCCCCAACCCCATGACTGTATCTCTCTGACCCACCTGACATTCACTCCATTTCCCCGTATTTCCTTCTTTCATGTTCCTCACCCTGATCACACTTGGTTTATTGATGGCGGTTCCACCAGGCCTAATCGCCACTCACAAGCAAAAGGCAGGCTATGCTATAGCATCTTCCACATCTATCATTGAGGCTACCACTTTGCCCCTCTCCACTACCTCCCAGCAAGCCAAACTCATTGCCTTAACTCGAGCCCTCATTCTTGCAAAGCAATTACGTGTCAATATTTATACTGACTCTAAATATGCCTTCCATATTGTACATGGAATATGGAATAAAACCATGCTGTTATATGGGCTGAAAGAGCTTTCCTCACTACTCAAGGGTCCTCCATCATTAATGCCTCTTTAATAAAAACTCTTCTCAAGGCCACTTTACTTCCAAAGGAAGCTGGAGTCATGCAAGGGCCACCAAAAGGCATCAGATCCCATCACTCAGGGCAATGCTTATGCTGATAAGGTAGCTAAAGAAGCAGCTAGCATTCCAACTTCCGTCCCTCATGGCCAGTTTTTCTCCTTCTAATTGGTCACTCCTATTTACTCTCCTACTGAAGTTTCCACTTATCAATCTCTTCCCACACAAGGCAAATGGTTCTTGGACCAAGAAAAATATCTCCTTCCAGCCTCACAGGCCCATTCTATTCTGTCATCATTTCATAACCTCTTCCATGTAGGTTACAAACTGTTAGCCTGCCTCTTAAAACCTCTAATTTCCTTTCCATCATGAATATCTATCCCCAATCCCCCAATCCTCCACTCTTGACTCCCTCTTGGAGTGGATAGATGATCTTTGCTGACAGGACACACTCCAACACTTTCACTCTGATGAAGTCCTATTCTTTACTGTTATACTCGCTCTTACTCTCGTTCCTGTTCTTATGCCACTCTCAACCCCTCCCCAGCTATCTCCACCACACTATCAATCTCACTCACTCTCTCCTAGACATTTCTTTCTTTTTATCCAAGTCAAGTTGTATCCAGCTTTATTAAAGATACTTTCCATAAACAATCATGATATTTCAGGCAGAACATGGGCAGACAATTGTTAACAGTATACAACAACTTTCAAACTCCCTTCTTCAATGGACTACCAAAAATCAGAAAGCCACTATAAAACCCAATGAAGTCTTCATCTGATGCTCTGAACAGGGAAAGTCTAGAGTGACGGTTGACATTTCATATTTAGCATGTTGTTTAACAACTTTTCACAAGCCGACCCTGACTTTCAGGAAGTGAAATGAAAATGGCAGAATGTGTCTGAAGATCCACAATCTAGAAATGGAACCACTGCTGTTTTGACAGGTGCTATCTCAGTGGCATCACTGGAAAGTCTAGATTGCCTGACACACTGGTAACCAATGACTGGGGGTCAGGTCCCAACAGATGTCTGGGCTTTAGGGAGTTAAGTCTATGCTGAAAGATGGAAAGGGAGAAGAGGACATAAAAACAAATTTGGTTTTCCATACCACAAGGCTTTTGTGCCAAGGTGGCCATGTGTGTCAAACTCAGGGAATCCCTCCTCCTGGGAACCAAGAGGAAGTCTCTCAAAACTAGAAGAGAAAGGTGTTTTCCCCACATCAATCCAGCTGTGGAGACATTCTATTAGTGACATATGCCCCTTCCCCCAAAAACAACAATGAAGTGTTCTGTGTGCTAAGCTTTAAAAAAAAAGTAAAACAAAATTCTGCATTTTAATAAAACTTGATAAAAAATAGTATTTCAAACTGTACAGTCACCAGAAGTACACAGTTATCAAAAATGCACACTTCACTTGGCATCTCCAGCATCTTCAGCTTTCTGTGCCTGGTCTGTTTTGGCATTTCCATTTTCTGCAGGGTTATCCCCTTCCTTGCCAGCATCAGCTTTTCCCTTTTTCCCTTTGGGTACCTTCTCTCCTTTCTTTGCAGGGGCCTTTTTAGGTTTGGGCTCTGGCTTTGGAGGAGCAGGTTTAGCAGACAACCTCGTGGATCTTCTCTGTGGTTCATGCTTCACCTTGGCTTTATCTCCTTTAGCATCCCCTTCAGCCTTTCTCTTGGACATGGTGGTGAGGGCGGTGGGATGTAGGTGCTGGATGCAGGATGCAGCGTGCGTGGGCTTTGGTTGGTCCGAGGGTCGTTCTTGCCTCTTCTTCTTCACACTGCTCCTCTCCTAGCCATTTCTAATCCTTCTTTAACAAACAGTCGCTGGCTTTGCATTTCTTTTTCCTCCATAATCGCTGAGGCCTCAATTTACTCCCTGCTGAAAAAGGAGGACTCTGTATATTTTTAAATGAAGAGTGTTGTTTTTACCTAAATCCATCTGGCCTGGTATATGACAACATAAAAAAACCTCAAGGATAGAGCTCAAAAACTCACCAACCAAGCAAATAATTATGAACCTCCTTGGGCACTCTCTAATTGGATATTCTGGGTCCTCCCAATTCTTAGTCCTTTAATACCTGTTTTTCTCCTTCTCTTATTCAGACCTTGTGTCTTTTGTTTAGTTTCTCAATTCATACAAAACCACATCCAGGCCCTCACCAATAATTCTATACGACAAACGCTCCTTCTAACAACCCCACAATATCACTCCTTACCCCAAAATCTTTCTTCAGTTGAATCTCTCCCACTCTAGGTTCCCATGCTGCCCCTAGTCCCACTTGAAGCAGCCCTGAGAAACATCACCCATTATCTCTTCATACCATCCCCCAAAATTTTTGCTGCCCCAACACTTCACCACTATTTTGTTTTGTTTTTCTTATTAATATATGAAGACAGGAATGTCAGGCCTCTGAGCCCAAGCTAAGCCATCATATCCCGTGACCTGCATGTATACATCTAGACGGCCTGAAGCAAATGAAGATCCACAAAAGAAGTGAAAATAGCCTTAACTGATGACATTCCACCATTGTGATTTGTTCCTGCCCTACCCTAACTGAAAAGATATATTCTCCCCCACCCTTAAGAAGGTACTTTGTAATATTCTCCCCCCGCCGGCCCCCCACCCTTAAGAAGATACTTTGTAATATTCTCTCCCTGCCCTTAAGAAGGTACTTTGTACGCCTATCCCAAACCTATAAGAACTAGTGATAATCCCACCATCCTTTGCTGACTCCTTTTTTGGACTCAGCCCACCCGCACCCAGGTGAAATAAACAGCCTTGTTGCTCACACAAAGCCTGTTTGGTGGTCTCTTTACACGGACACATGAGACACTAGCCATTTACAAACTTGGGACTCTGGCAAGGGTGGTGGGGAATGGGTCCCACATAACTGCTCGTGTTGAGAGCTGTTTGCCTAAATTGGGGTAAGACTCCCTGGGTTCATAGCCTAGATGCTTAAGGACACAGCATAGAGCTTCCTTAGATCCCTTTGGAGATACGACTTGCTCTAATACTTGGAGAGAAAACGAAAGTCTGAAGCATTAGTACCTAGGAGGCAGGGATTGGAGGAAGTAGATTCAGAGGTAAGGAGAATTTTGGGGCTACACTTTCAAGAAAGTCATGGTCAGGACCCAGGAGGTATGGGTCAGAAGGAGAGGTAGGGGTGCACACATGGGCGACTGTTGAGTAGAGACTTCTGGATGTGCCATGATCTTAACTGGCCAATGCCAGGAGTTCAGTATGACAGCTTTCGGCCTCTAGTTGGCCCTTGGCTTCCCCCAGGAAATTGTGAAAGTGGAAGCTGGTTCCAGGCAGACCAATGTTCCCAACCCAGAAGGGCTGGGGGTTGTTAGAAAGCCTTTTCCCAGGAAGCCTCACACTTGAGTCTTAAGTCCAGCGGCCATGCTAATCATTTTTAACTGGCTGACAGGTGCCCAGTATTTTCCTCCAATTCTAAGGAGGGATAGGACAGAATAGCAGGTGAAAGTGGTACAATATTATTCACCACTTTGGAGAATCCCCTAACTGTTGCCACCAAATGTTGCAGGTGGGTCTTTGTTCTGCACATGTATTTTTTACATGCATAGAATGTGTAATGATCAAGTCAGGGTATTTGGGGTACTCATCATCTTGAATATTGCTCATTTCTATGTATTGGTAACATTTCAAATCCTCTCTTCTAGCTACTTTGAAATGTACAGTGCATTGTTGCCAACTATAGGCACCCTACTGTGCAAGAGAATACTGGGGCTTATTTGTTCTATCTAACTATATGTTTGTACCAGTTAACAAATCTCTCTTTATCCTCCCTCCGACCCACACACTCTTCTTAGCCTTTGTTATCTATCATTCTTTTCTCTATCTCGAGGAGATCAATTTTTTTTAACTCCCATATATGAGTGAGAACAAGAGGTATCTGTCTTTCTGTGCCTGTTATTTCATTTAACATGATGACCCCTAGTTCCATCCATGTTGCTGCAAATGACATAATTTCATTCTTTCTTATGGCCAAATCACATTTGACTTATATATGTCATATATATGCATGTATGTGCATATATATGTGTGTATATACATATATATACACATATATAAATATACATATATATGCATACATGTATATCACATTTTCTATATTCATTCATCTATTGATGATGATTCTATATCTTTGATTCTATATATGTTGATTCTATATCTTTGCTATTGTGAAGAGCACTGCTATAAACATGCAAGTGCAGGCATTCCTTTGATATACAGACTTTTCCTTTGGACAGATATTCGGTAGTGGGATTGCCAGATCATATGGTAGTTCTACTTTTAGTTTTGTGAGAAATTCTGATACTGTTTTCCATAGTGGTTGTACTAATTTACATTCCCAGTAACAGTGTATAAGATTTTCCTTTTCTCCACATCCTCATCAGCATCAGTTATTTTTTGTAATTTTATAAATAGCCATTCTCATGGGGGTAAGATGATATTTCATTGTGGCTTTGATTTGCATTTCCCTGATGCTTAGTGATGTTGAGCATTTTTTCATATACCTGCTGGCCATTTGTATGTCTTTTTATTTTTAAATTTAATTTAATTTAATTTTTTTTTTTGAGACAGAGTCCCTTTCTGAACCCAGGCTGGAGTGCAGTGGCAGGATCATAACTCACTGTAACCTCAAACTCCTGGGCTCAAGTGATTCTCCTGTCTCAGCCTCCTGAGTAGCTGGGACTACAGGTATGCACCACCATGCCTGGCTAATTTTTTAAGTTTTTGTGGAGACAGGGTCTCGCCATATTTCTCAGACTGGTCTTGAACTCCTGACCTCAAGTAATCCTCCTGCCTTGGCATCCCAAAATGCTAGGATTACAGATGTGAGCCACCATGCCCAGCCTGTATGTCTTCTTTTGAGAAATATGTATTCATGTCCTTTGCCCACTTTTAAATGAGATTATTATTATTATTTTTTGTTATTGCTGAGTTGTTTGACATTCCTGTATATTCTGGCTATTAGTCCCTTGTCAGATAAATAGTTTGCAAATATTTTCTCCCATTCAGTAAGTTGTCTCTTCACTCCGTTGATTGTTTCCTTTGCTGTGCAGAAGCTTTTTAGTTTAATATAGTCCCATTTGTCTATTTTTGTTATAGTTTCTGTGCTTTTGAGGTCTTAGCCATAAAATCTTCACTAGACTCATATCTTAAAATATTTTCTCTATGTTTTTTCCTAGCAGCTTTATAGTTTTGAGTCTTATGTTTAAAGTTTTAATCCATCTTCAGTTGATTTTTGTGTATGGGGAGAGAAAGGGGTCCAGTTTCATTCTTCTGCATACAAATATCCAATTTTCCCAGTACCATTTATTGAAGAGGGTATCTTTCCCCCAGTGTATGTTCTTGAAGCTTTTACTGAAAATCAGTTGGCTGTGAATGTGTGGATTTATTTCTGGACTGTCTATTCTGTTCCATCGGTCTGTGTATCTGTTTTTATACCAGTGCCTCAACCTCCCAAACAGCCGGGATTACAAGCGCCTGCCATTATGCCAGCACATTTTTTTGTGTGTTTTTAGTAGAGATGGGGTTTTGCCATGTTGGTCAGGCTTGTCTTGAACTCCTGACCTCAAGCGATCCACCCATCTCCGGCTCCCAAGGTGCTGGGATTACAGGCGTGAGCCACCACATCCAGCCCTTTTTACTGTTTTTGACTTAAAGTTTGTTTTATCTAAGTATAGCTACTGCTTGCTTTTGGTTTCCATTTACATGGAATATCTTTTTCCATTCCTTTGAGTGTAGATGTGTCTTTCTTGTAAGCACCATTTGGTTGGATTATGTTTCTTTATCCATTCAGCCAGTCTATGTTTTTTAAGTGGAGAATTTAATACATTCACATTCAAGGTTATTATTGATATGTGAGGTTTTGTTACTGTCATATTGTTAATTATTTTCTGGTTGTTTTGTATATTCTTTGTTCTTTTCTTCTCTCTTATTGATAGTAATTGTGGTTTTATGGTTTACTGTAGTGGTACCACTTAAGTCCTTTCTCTTCCTCATTTATGTGTTTGGTTTACCAGTGAGTTTTATACTTTTGTGTGTTTTTATGATGGTAAATGTTCTTTCACTTCCAAGTTCAGGACTCTCTTGGGCATTTCTTGTAGCATTGGTCTTGTGGTGTGTTCCCTCAGAATTTACTCATCTGGGAAAGTCTGTTTCTCTTTCATTTATGAATTTTGCTGGATGTAGTATCCCTGGGTGGCAGGTTTTTTCTCCCAGCACTTTGAATATGTTGTCCCATTCTCTCCTGGCCTGCAAGGTTTTGATGTGGGTTTCTTTGTAGGTGACTAGATACTTTTCTCTTGCTGTTTTTGGTGTTCTATGGTTTGTTTTGACTTTAAACAGTTTGATCATAATATGGCATGGAGAAGATCTTTTTCAATTATATTTGTTAGGGAATCTTTGGGCCTTCTCTATCTGGTTATCTATATCTCTTGCTAGATTTGGGAAGTTTTCAACTAATATTTTGTTAAATAGATTTTCCAACCCTTTGTTTTCTCTTCACTCTCAGGGACAGTGGTAATTTGAATATTTGTTCACTTTTTATTGTCCCAAATGTTACAAAGGCTCTGCACATTCTTTCTAATTTTTTCTTTATTTTTATCTGCCTGGATTAGTTCAAAAGACTTGTCTTCAAGTTCTGAGATTCTTTCTTCTGCTTGATCTAGACTATTGAAGCTTTCAAATGTATTTTGTATTTAATTCAATGAATTATTCAGTTCCAGAATTTAAAAAAAAAAACAAACTATCTCTTTGGTAAAGTTCTCATTCATATCCTGAATTGTTTTTCTTATTTCTGTGTATTGTTTTTCAGAATTATCTGATATCTCTCTGAGCTCCTTTAAAATCTGTATTTTGAATTATTTATCTGGGATTTCATA